TTATTTATTTATTTATTTACCAAGTAATTTATTAACACCATGAAAAATTTTAAAAAATTTAAATTAATAAAGTCAATCATTTTAACTACTTGAGGGATTTTTTGACAAAGAAAGTATTCAAACACACAACAAATTGAAGTGAGAAACTACCTCGCAATGTCCTTAGCTTTTTTGGCAATCAGCAGTTAGCGATTAACGTTAGCGGATTATATTTGCGGATTTGACCAGCGAATTATATCAACAGTTGGTAAAAAGATTTTTTTAAAAAAAATTAGGTGTTTAATAATAATAATAATAATAATAATAATAATAATAATAATAATAATAATAATAATAATAATAATAATAATAATAATAATAATAATAATTGTTTTAATAATAATTTTTATAAAAAAATATAGATGTGTTTTGGGGAAATCATTCTCAAAAACGCTAAGTGAAAATATTGTAAATTGCAATGTTTGTATTTTGAGTGGGTTGGAATAAATTGTTGGTTCAAACTGTTGAATAATCAAAACACTTTCTTTAGCATTTTGATCTTTGGGTTACATCATATTTTCAATCGTCCAATATTTTTGAGTTACATTATAATTAAAAGTTTTAAATTTTTTACTACATCTAAATTCCTTAAATTAAGATTTTTTTATCTATAATAATTTATTCAACAATAATGGTTGAACTAAATGAACACTGAGCAAAACACCTAAAGGACTGGTACCGTTGATTCATTCATCAATCTTGTATATATGTGCATTCATTAAATATATATAGAACCCTTTGCAACAAAAATACTTAGTTACTATTTAAAAAAATTTTAGTAACAATTATAATGAATCTCCTATATTACATTGTATACATATACAATGAATTACATATTTAAATAAACAAATTAGACATTAAATTACTTATGTTGAACTTCTCATATATAATCTTGCATTGATATAATGATATACTTTCAAATATTTATTTAATTATAAACATTGGGTAGAAAAAATGACCGTCAAATTATTAAATCAAATAAATAGTTCAGATTGTTCAGATTTTAATTTTTCCTTGAGATTTCCTAATTTATCCTTAATTATATGATTATCCGATCCGTTAACTTTTTCATTAAGTACCGTTAATTCACCGTTAGTCTAATTCTAATATTAAAGTCTAATATAGAATTATAACTACAACATTAATCTAATTCTAATATTATAGTCTTAATAGAACTCTAACCACAAACCCTATTGTCGGAATCTCCTCAAACAATATTAGTATATATTTAGGGTGTGTTTGGTTCGCACATGAGAATCGGAATCGGAATCGGAATGGGTATCAAATACTTGGTAATAGTAATGGGTTTTGGTGAAAGTATTTAACATGTTTGGTAGTAGGGTGGAATGAGAATGATTACTAATAGTAGTGCTTGAGAATGAATAAGGGAATGAAACCCTTATTTTATTTGGGTATAGGTTTTTCAATTCATGGGGTATTCGAAACCCATAGTAGTGTTCAAAAAACCTATCAACCAAACAATAACAATCACTTTCATACCTATTCCTATGGGCAAAACCCATCAACCAAACACGTTAATATTTTATGCTTTAATTTTTATTTGCTCTCCCTTATGTCCCGTATTTGGTTTCAACCACACCCATACAATTCTTTTTTTCTGACAATTATAATTAATCTTGACTATATTATATTGCATTTGTAAATTTAGAATTACCAATTTAAATACGCAAATTCAACATTCAATTATTTATGCATGAACAATCCAATATAATCTTGCATTGATATACTTTAAAATACTTATAGAAAAACATTGGGCATTATCCCAATCGCGCAATGCGCGTAAAAAAAACTAGTATATATATATATATATATATATATATATATATATATATATATATATATATATATATATATATATATATATCCACCCCCTTCCCATGAGTCCGTGTGGACAAATCAGGATCAATGAATGCTTGAGATCAATGGGTTAAATTTCTCCAACTGTGTAAGTGAAATGCACAACTGTGTACTCACTCCTTATTTTACCTGTCTTGATTACTATTCATTGGTCAAGACAACTCTTCTTCTTAGATATTTTCATTAGTATTTTCTTATAGTTCTTAAGAGCAAATTTCACTATTGTGACATTTCTATCCTTTATTTTGCCACATTACATCATTGACTTTTTCTTACTTGCTACATTTAGTCTTCATTTTAAAGTTGCCCTAACATATAATTTATATCCTTTTCTTGTAAACTCTTTTAAAAATTTCATGTTAGCCTTTATTAAATTATGGAATAATAAAAATTTAAAAGGACTAATTGTGACAAACAAATTAAAGTTAAGGAAATAATTAGGCAAAAAAAAAATACAAAACTAAATGTAACAATGACACAATAGTTAAAAGTAAAATTTACTTATTTTTAAATTTAATTTTTTATTTTGTATGCTTAATAGTACTTTTTAAATATATAAATGTTATATACAAATTCTAAATTTAATGTTATTAAAATTAAAACTTACGAGAAACATAAAATATGACTGATGGAGTAATAAGTTAATATTATATTCCTTATATTTAAAAAAGATAGTAATTTATTATTTAAATGGCATGTATAAATATTACTAATATAGTAATATATAATTTTTAAATATGTGTTTGGTTCATTTTCTGGAAAATGAGTAAAATGGTAAAACTAAACATTTTAATTATTTTATTTGGAATAAAAATATTTATAATAATATTAAATATACTTTTATTTATTAAAAATTATATTAAAAAAAAATGCCTTCATTTCTTGGTTTGCTGCAAGTGCGGCTCTCTTCTTCCAGAACTCACAATGGGTCCTCATCTTTTGAGAGCTTTCCGCCGTCACCTACCTCGCCACCTCAAGAGTTGAAATTTGTATAAAATTTGTGATTTTGGTAGGGTTATTGAGGAGAGCAAGAGCCACCTCTTCGTCGCCACCTCTTCTTCACGTTTTTTTTTTTAGGTTTTCGGCGGAAACTAGTGGTCTGGTTTCCGCCGGAAACATTGTATCACAACTCAGGAGTTTTTTTTTTTTTTTTTTTTAAAGGTTTCCGGCGGAAACTAGTGGTCTGGTTTCCGCCGGAAACCACAGCTCACAGCTCTGGTTTCCGATGGAAACCAGACCACTGGTTTTCCATCTGAAACATTGTATCATAACTCAGGCGCTTTTTTTTTTTTTTTTTTTTTTTTTTTTTTTTTAACGTTTCCGGCGGAAACTAGATTTGTGGTTTCCGGCGTGCTAGAAACATTGTTGTATGTTTGGAGGAGTTTCTGCTGAATGTTGATGGGAGAAGCAGAACTTTAGACTTCAGAGTGAGGAGGGGCTTCCGGAAAATGAATTCCTCCAAAAAAAAGGGGAAGTCATTTTCCGGAAAAATGCACTCATTTTCTATTGACCATAGCTCATTTTCCTTTGACTTTTCAGTTTTCAGTCTAGCCAAACACCAAAAATCCGAAAAATGATTTCCAGAAATTATTTTCCGGGTTTCCAAACAGACCCTTAGTTAAAAGTTACAGAGTATATAATTAGCAATTAGCTATATCAACTTGTAGCTAATTGCTAAACACCCAATAAGAAAAACTATAAAATTATTAGAAAAAAAGTTTAGGATTTAAGAATTTTATTTCAAAAAGATTTTTATGTTTTAAGAGTTTCTTCTAAATTAATGTTAATATTAAATAAAATAATTTCAAGATTAATATTTAATAAATTGGTATAGTAGTATAATTAGTACAAAAATTTTATTTGGTAATTACCCAGGACTTTGTGGTCCACTGCTACCAAGTTACTATTTTATGTGGGAAGTGGTAGATTCGAGCTTTGATGTAATAGCTTGTATATGTAAGTATTCTTTTCTTTTATAATAAAAAAAATTGTTTGGTAATTTATTTATGAGTAATATTATACTCTGTAAGTATTGCCAAGCACCTTGTGCTAAGATATCATGTATTGATTTTTGAGATAAAGTACAAATAAGTCACTGAACTATTTGTGAAACAGCAATTAAGCCATCGAACTCAAATAACCATCAAATAAGCCATTGAACCCGGAAAAAAATAGCAAATAAGCCATTGAACCCTGAAAAAAAGAGCAATTATCATTTTTTATAGGTTAACTCAAAGTTTTTGCTGATTGGATTGCCAAATGTTTATTTTATTTACGTTTATTATTTTTTTTATTAATATTATCCACTTGGATAGTATTATATTTTAAAATAATTATAATCAAAATAGTTTTATCTTGTAGAGATTTGATTTGTTTATTTATTATTATTTTTTCACTAGATCTTTTGTTTAAAAAAATAATAATAAATAAATAAATTAGATCTAGACAAGACAAAACTACTTTGATTATAATTACTTTAAAATATATTACTATGTAGATGGATTATAATAATAAAAAACGTAAATAAAATAAACATTTAACAATCTAATCAGTAAAAACTTAGAGTTAACATGTTAAAAATGTTAATTGCTCTTTTTTTCCAGGTTTAATGGCTTATTTGGGGGTTATTTGAGTTCGATGGCTGAATTGCTTTTTCCCAAATAATTCAGTGGCTTTTTTGTACTTTATCACTTGATTTTTTTATATGGGAGGTCATGAAATCGAGTCTCAGTGGAGACGGAGTGTTGGCATGTAGTGACTCTTTGTAGTAAGTATTATGATTAACGAGTTTTTAGAGAGGATTCCGTAATTTGAATTTCGAAAGAACAAATTACCAAAGAATTAATTTCCGTGTCCGAAAAGCGTTTTCTTTTTCTTCGTCTTCTACTTCCTGCCCTTCTCCGCAAGGGCTGCGCAGCACAGCAATGGCTAACGTCTCTGCTCCATTGCTTAAACTCCTCAACGACGACTTCCGCCCACACGACGTCGTTGAAGACCTCAACTCTCTTCCTTACTGGTCTCACGATTTCGATGCCTTCGACTCCGCAGATCTCTCCGATTTCCAACCCTCCGATCTGCGGCCCGAAATATCCGCCGTCGGTCGGAGTCTGGTGGATCAATCGTTGAACGGTGACGCTTTGGAGCGAGAATACATGGACTTCCTCGACCGCGAGAACCAGGTTAATTTCGTCATGGACCTCTTCCACCAACGCGTCGAGCAATCGCAATCGCCGTTGGAGGTAATTCTGGACCCTAATTTAGTGGAGCCGGACCCGGGTTTCGTCTTGAGTTTCGGAAACGAAGAAATGGGGTCAGTTGAATTGGAGCTGGATCTCGAGCAAGGGTTATGTCTTCGAGGGGAGGAAGAAATCATGGGAAACGGTGAGAATTCTGGCTTTGTCGTGGAAAATTGCGACGGCGAAGAGCACTTTATGAGTGCGCTTAGGGCTCTTGATGTTAGGTCGTCGGACTTGGATTTGGATTCGGATTTGGATTTGGATTCGGATGAAAATGCAGTAGTGGTGGATGATGATATCATTTATGAAAACGAGAGCGATTTTCGTTGGGAATCATTTGGAGCGGAGGATGATCATAGGGAGGATTTGGAATGGGAAGTGGATCGACGTTGGGAGATTCTGAGCATGTTTCTGGATGCCCAAGAAGAGAGAGTTGTGTTGGGGACTTTGGAGTGGGAGGTTCTGTTGAACGATCACCAAAACTTGGATCCAAATCCAGAATTTCAAGATCAAGATGAAGAGTATAATTATGCTGCAGAATATGAGGTGCTGTTTGCACATTTCAATGATGCAGAGAATGCTGCTTCAATCACCACTAGCAGGCCACCAGCTTCCAAAACTGTCATCAAGAACCTGCCAACAGTGGTTTTGATCAAAGAAGAAGATGATGATTATGATTCTGAGAAGGCTGTTGTGTGTGCAGTGTGTAAGGATGAAATGAGAGGCGGGGAGAAGGCGAGCCAGCTGCCTTGCACGCACAAATATCACGACCACTGTATCCTCCCATGGCTCAAAATTAGAAACACCTGCCCAGTCTGCCGCCACGAATTGCCCACCGATGACCCTGAATATGAAGAAAGGAGGAAAACACAAAGCGTTTGATGATGATATATTTATTCAGGACTTAATCACCCCCGAATTCTTATGCTCAGGGTATTGGTAATAAGCTACAATAATTCTTCTATATGTTGTTTGTTAGGTAATACTATTTTTCTTTCTTTCTTTCTGGAGTATGTATGGTACTCTTCTTGATTTCTAGTAGTTTTTGTATATAACATATTTGTGAGAGATGAAATTCATCTTAGCTAGTTGTTTTGTAGTAGAGTTAATAACTCTCTGAACAAATCTTGTAGAAACAGATACTTGTTGCAATTTGCAAAGCAGAAACTTAAATAGCTTATGGCATGATGATATGATATATATATTATAAGTAGTTAAAAACTCAAGTAAAAGAGTTAAGTTGCACAAGCATTGCCTTTCCTTGATAGGGTAGGGTTGATCAAAGTGTACCAGATTGCAATATTTCAGTTGAGTCAAAGGTAAACGAAATGAAAGGTTCAGTTCCCATTCTTAGAAGGCGGGTTCCCATTGGCGCTGCAGGATGGAGTTTCCACAGCAGAATTTGGGGAGCTGCTACTGCTCTCGTCCTGAAAATTAGCTGGATCTGCGTAAGACAGGTACCCGGGAAACCTACACAAGCAATTGAAGAAGGACAACTCCACTCGCTTCAGATGCAAAAACAAGATCAGACATGGAGAAAGACCAAAAAATGTTGAAATACCTGCTCACTTTTATTGCCTCTCCATCTATAGTCATTTTGACATCAAAGATGTTTCCTGTAACAATTGTTGCCAGCCAAACACAATCATGCATGATGCAGAGTAATCAGGTTTGAACTTTGAATAAACAGAAAATAAGAAATTCTTTATGAGCACCAGATTTGTACTCTATCCTACAAGGAGGGTGACTCAGCCAAAAAGTTAAACAATCTGGATATAATTTTACCATTAGACATTATCACATGTTCAGGGACATCAGATGATGAATAAGCTCTTAGTACTATCACTGGAGATGTCACATTGTGCAAGTCAAGTTGTCTAAATACATTCAAGTAAAGAAACAGGCACATGGAAATTGGAATGTTATTAGTAAGCATTTTCGGACAGAGGATTTGTGAACTGCTACACAAGCCAAGGATTATCAAAATTCAAAATAGACTAAGAGATTGGCTCCTCATTTGACAACCATATATCAAGGAGCTTGCAGTGTAATAGACAATTCAGAGAGCAACAAAACGAAATCAAAAACATTCTATTCTCATGGGACAAAAGTCTCAATATATATAAACTAATGAATGCTAAAAATGAAGAATGATTGTGACTCCCTTTGGGCTTTGGGTGTCAACTTAAAATAACACAGTAAAAGATTATTTATACAATGGGAGAGAAGTAAAGAATGGGCAATAAGATTCCAAAAGCATGTTATATGCATTGTGGATTGCTCCCCAGTAAACCATATGCTACTTGAGCATGCTGCAGGGTATTGTGTTTACCAACAAAATACCCAGCCCCCAGCCCCAGCCCCATTCCCCATTAAAAAAAGGATAAAGGGAAGATACCATTAACCACCTTTCAGTTCAATACATGCACATGTTCTTGTGATTTGATGTTATAAATGTTACCTCCGAAGATAGTCTTGTCTGAAAAGTACTTGGACATTAAATGTTGAGTGTATTCAGCTTCGTATCTCTTGAATTTCTCATTCTGTGCCTCTTCCAAGAGCCTGCAACAAAATGCCAATGCAATTACAAACTTTGCATAGTCCCTAATAAAATTTGCCAGGGCAAAAGGTTGTAGACAACAATTTAAAGAGAAAACAATGCTTACGAAACACACTTTCACAAATATTATTTATTTATTTTCATCTGCAACAGATGCAGACACATTGCTTACTAAGCATCCTCAATCAAATTAAATCTCTATAAGTTTTACAAAGGCTTTAAAATTGATATGAGTTGCAAAAGCCCTCCCTCAACAGTTATAAATTACAGATTAGCCTAATTGCAAAACAAGTTTGAGTTATATATAGTAAAGTTTTCTGCTTTATTAAAAGGAAAGGCCTGATTGGACAATAATCCACTTGAACAATGAGTTCTGCACTTCTGCTTATAGTCAACGGTGAAGAATCCTCATCACTCCCCAACCAATTTAAATTAAACGTTTAGAAAACAGTTTTTTAGTTCTTTTTCAGTCCGTTCTCCCATTTCCTTCCCAAAGCCAGTGGTAGGAATCTAAACAGAGCTGCTCCAGCAACTGAGCTACATAGAGGGGTTAGTAGTTGGCACTCACCTAGGGTGCATCATGAGGACTTGAGAAATAGAGGAATGAAACACAGTTGTCTACCCCTTAGATCTTTATTAGTGTGCATGTATGGAGCATTTAGTAAATACAGAGTACTGCTTAACATGGGCATTTCCAACAAGCAAAAACACAATAAAATGATAATTTCACCTTAAGAAGCAATCTCACACACTCACACCCTTCCCGTGATTTTCCGTAGATGGAAACATAAAGTATGTGAAACAAGCTAGGTTGGGAGAGACATATTATTGAAAACTTGGGTGCAAAACATGATGCTGAAGTCCTCAGAACTTAGATATCAGACATTGGGATATACTGCTAACACTGAATACAGAAAAGAATAAGGAGACGCTCAAGTTGTCAGCTGGAAGAAGGGCAATAGTACACTTTGAACTTGTTTGGCGAAGCCTGAGTTTCTTGAAAAAGGATGTTTTCCCTCTTATTTAGCCTTCAAACCTTATTAAATTTTAAGTGTTTGGCCCAGCATCTACTCTATACAGTAGATAAGCTCAAGAACAAGACAGGCAAATTAAGCACTTTCTCTGACGGTATTAGTGAGGGTAAAACTGTAGTAAATTGCTAGGTGAACTAGGATAAAACCATTTTAAGTAAGAAAAGAATAAAGAATAACTACTTCAATAAAATGTATTCCTTGAACTAGGATAAAACCATTGTATATAACAAAAGAATGAAGAAACAACTACAATAAAGTACTCCTAAATTCCTATTATCTGAGATGGTAAAAATAAAGTTAGAAATCCTGAGTGGTCTAAAGTCTAATTTTGACCTTATTCTGTTATTCACTTGGATTAAGCAGCATATAGAAATATCCCTATTCCAAAATTAATTGCTGCCTAAGCATGTATTCCAATATTCCATTAATTAATTTTGTATCTCTCCCTCTTTCTTATCCCAAAAAGTTGAATCCCCAACCCAAGGGCCCTCCACACCCCGACCCAGACAGAGTATGTGAGTGGAGGTAAATCACGATAATGGCTAAGCAGACATGGCCAAATGCCGGTGCTCACAAGGGATCTCCCCACTTTAGGCATAATCCCCACACTGCCGAATTTCGAACTTTGGTCTCTTCTCCCAAATACTACTTACTGAACCAGTAAGCGAACGGGTAGAAGAGTTGGATCGCAGGTCACACCTGGAAAGCAGCTTAGCCTACCACTAGGCTAAACCTTGGAATCCATGTCTTTCCCTTTCAAATTTCAATGGTTATGAAGATAACTTCACCATACTTTAAGTCTATGAATCCACTCAGAGTCAACCGATTAAGATACAAACAGATTACAAAAGTTCCACCAAGATCTGTTATGACATTTTTTTTACCATCCAGATCAAAAAGTATAATGTAGATAAGACATTCACAGAAAAACCTCTCAGACACGTGATCACAAACAGAAGACAGTCATTAGAAAAGAATCGTAATATCAAATAAGAATCAACATTTATTTTCTCACTCAATAGGGCTTTTTTTCACCGGTTTCCTGTCAAACTCTTCCATCACCTTGACCTTCCCCTCGAGCTCTTCCTTCGCAGTAACACTCGTAACCTCCTCCTACACAGACAAACACTCTGTTAGTACATCAATCAACCCAAAAAAAAAAAAAAAAAAAAAAAAACACAGATTAATCGAATTGGGGGGACCTGCTCTTCTTTGGGTTGCAAAGTAGGAGCTTGAGCAACAGAGGACACGGCAGAGTTGGAAAGAGAAGTGGAAAATGAAGACGCCATTGGAGACTAGAAAGCAACTGCAAGAGTGGCTTGGACAGTGACAAGTGTGATCATTCGAGGGTGGCAGATCAGAAACGCTGAAATTGAATTTGAATTCATCTCTTTTGGGGACGATTTCGAATTATTATTATAATAAAATCCGAATCCCTAATTGAAAAGTTGAATATACAAATTAAAGTTAGAAGAAGAGATGAAGGAGAAAATTAGTGGTCCTATAGTTTATTGCTACCAAGAGAAAGACCATGGATGCCGTGGGGGAAGTCAGAATGGGAGACGAAAGCAAACTAGTGTATGGACTATGTAGACTGGAAACGATATATTTCACTGCATAACATTTATACAAAAATTAGTTGTAAATACATGATTGAATAATCTCCCGATAAACAACAAAAATTTAGTAAAATGATTCAAATCAAAAAACATAATAAGCTTCAATCCAGGTTATACCCCTGGTTTATGTCCGTTTTTTTTGTTAATTTTTATTGTACCTTGTGCTATAAAAGTTGTACTACATAATTTTTTAGACAAAAATATCCTTACCATTATAATTTCTGTTATCCTTCCAAATTATTATTACAATGTACATGCATACACAATATTTTTTCTTACATCCTTCAATAATAAGTTTGAATTCATTTAGGTTTTAATTAAAATGTTATCATAGTTATATTTAGTTATATTTAGGTTTTCACAAAAAAAAAAAAAAATTAGTTATATTTAGTAACTAAATAATATTAATATAAATTATACGTAAATTTGAATTTATATAGTTTGAATTCAAGAAATTTGTAATTTATCATTTCTATAATTCTTTCCTAAATAATATTAATATGAATTATACAATTATATATATATATATATATATATATATATATATATATATATATATATATATATACTATTATTTTTAAAAAATTAATATAACTAAGATTTTAATATTAAATTTTAATATTGGGCATATATTTTTTGCCCATCGCGCATATAAAATACTAGTAAATAAATAAACACAAATCTTATAAATTTTAAAATGTTGTTGTGAAACTGGATATATCCTCGCGTGAATAATTGTATTGTTTGGATTGCATAATTAGATAAAAAGAAAGACAGAGAATAATGGATACTGTTATTAATTATCTTACTCCAATATCTACAAATCTAATAAGAGCCAGGAATGTTAGACACTTAACTGGAACAACAAAATATTTTATAATTGTTTCTTAAAATGAATGGTTCATATTGTTTTGATTTTAATATTTTTTAATGATTTTCTTTATTTACCTTCTATTATATTATTTTCTTCCTTAAATAACCTTAAGGGTGTGTTTGGAAACACGGAAAATGATTTCTGAATTTCCGGGTTTCTAGTGTTTGGCAAGGAGTAAAATAGTAAAGTCAAGGGAAAATTGGGTCATTTTTCGCTTCTCTTCTTTGCGCAGAGGCCAGAAACCGTAGCTTTTCTTCTTCGCACGTAGCTTTTCTTCTCCGCACAGAAGCTAAAAATCGCAGCTTCTATTCTTCGCACAGAGGCCAGAGACCACCAACGCAGCTTCCTTCTTCGCACAAAGACCTTTTTTCTGGAAAATGAACCAAACACACAAAGACAGTTTTCTGTTGTTGCAGCCAAACACCGGAAATGAAAATGTTTTTCAGAAAATGACTCATTTTTCGGAAAATATTTTTTTGAAGTCATTTTCCTGCATTCTAAACGGACCCTAAATTCCATTAGTATAAACTTTAGTAATGGAATGAGCAAATATCAATTTGAGTCCCACGAGTATTGACAAAATGACAGTTTTGGTCCACATGTTTAATTTGTACCAATTTTCATCATCGATTATTGTTTTAATACCAATTTTTATCCACAATTATTATTTTAGTATCAAAATTCATCACGACGATCACTTTTCCTTTTAAGACATGTCGAAATCTAAAATTTTAAAGGATATTTTCGTCATTTTTAACTTAAGATCTAAATTTGAGCATAAATAAAGAGATTTAAGCCCTAAGATTGACCCCAATTCGCAATTCTCCTCATCCTACCTTAATTTGATGAGGAGAACTGCGAATTGGGATCGATCTTAGAGTTTAAATCCCTTTATTTATGTTTAAATTGGGCTCTTAATTTGAAAAATACGAAAATACCCTTAATAATTTCATATTTCAACAAGTCTTCAACGAATGGGTGACCGGTGTGATGAATTTTGACACTAAAATAATAGTTGTAGACGAAAATTAGTACTAAAACAATAGTCATGGATGAAAATTGGTAAGAATTAAACATATGGACTAAAACTGTCATTTTACTAATACTCGTGGGACTAAAACTGGTATTTGCTCGTAATGGAATATTCCGTTAACTATTTATTATTTTTAACTTATCCATTATTAATTTATATAAAAAAGGTCTTAGGTTCGAACCTCATTCCAAATAAAGTTGGCATAATTGTTAAACGTATACTACGGATATGTTAAAATATATTTAAAATAATATAATATAAAATTTAACATAAAGTTTGATCAAATAATTAGCTCGACTAAACACATAGCGTTCAAATCTTCTTTTGAATATTTAGAACAAAACTTAATATTTTTATTACGCTTTGACATTATTTGAATGATTTATGTCATTATGGTATTAATATATTTTTTAATGTATTTTTATAATGGTACAATTGTACATTACTTTACAAATATTATACTATTATTTTTTTATCAGACAAAATTGTTTTTACATCATTGTTAGACCTGCGTGACCTAACTACAAAGTTGTTGATCATAAATACAATTACACTTGGACTCTAAAACGGTAGGACCATTTTCTAAAGGCACAAGTGTCAAATAGACTCATCTACTACTTCGAAGTGCTCAAATCCCCCATCAACTAAAACATAATGTAATTAGGCAGACTTACCTCTAAAAATTTGTCGATTAGCTTTTTTTTGCAGGTTGTCACTCCACAGTGCTGACATGTAATTTCTACTATACTAATAAGAGCCCAAGAGAGTTAGGCTTATAATGGGTAGAAAAAATGGCGGTCAAATTTTTTAATCAAATGAATGGCTCAGATTGATCAAATTTTAATTTTTTCTTAAGATTTCCTAATTTATCCTTAATGAATGTGATTTTCCGTTAAATATTATGTTTTCCGTTAATTTCTGTTAGTTCACCGTTAACTTACTCATTGATTTTAATAAGAATTTAAAGGTCTTAGGTTCGAACCTCATCCCAATCAAAGTTGGCATAATTAGTACTCTATTTTACTATTATTAAATTAATTAAAAATAATAATTTAGTAGCTACAACAAAAAATAATATATATCATTTTTTAATTTAGAATTATGTGTCTACAATGCCTTTATTCAAAAAAAAAAATTATTCATTATCAATAAATTAAATAAGAGAAATAATTTCATTAGTTATATTGTATTTATTTTTCTCCAATATAAAAATTCTTTATATTCAAATTCATCAATTGATTATATTTGCTACATTGTCCCTACAATGTCTTTATTAAAAAAACTAGTTTTTTACGCGCATTGCGCGATTGGGATAATGTCCAATGTTTTATTTTTAAATAAGTACTTTAAAGTATATCAAGGCAAGATTATATTTAAATTATTCATGCATATAGATAATTGAATGTTGAATTTGCATATTTAAATAGGTAATTTTAAGTTCACAAATGCAAGATAATATAGTCAAGATTAATTATAATTGTCAATAAAATAATTGTATAGGTATGGTCGAAACCAAATACGGGACATAAGGGAGAGCAAGTAAAAATTAGGGCATAAAATATTAAATATATATACTAATATTGAAGAGCTAACTGCTGATTACCAAACAAGGACATTGCGAGGTAGTTTCCCATTTCAATTTATTGTGTGATTTAATTACTCTTTTTGTTAATAAATCCCTCAAGTAGTTAATATGATTGACTTTTTTTTTTTAATTTTTTTAAAAAAATTATTGTTATTATTATTATTATTATTATTATTATTATTATTATTATTATTATTATTATTATTATTATTATTATTATTATTATTATTAAATATATGTATACACTTAGGTCATTTTACATGTTAATCTAAATAGTTAATTTTTTCAAATATCTTTTTACCAACCGTAGATATAATTTGCTGGTCAATTCCGCTAATATAATCCGCTAACACTTACCGCTAACTGCTAATTGTCAAACAAGGACATTGCGAGGTAGTTCTCACTTCAATTTGTTGTGTGATTTGAATACTCTCTTTGTCAACAAATCGCTCAAAGTAGTTAATATGATTGACTTTATTAATTATTTTTTTTAAAAAAAAAATTCATGGTATTAATAAAATACTTGGTAAATAAATATATAGCATTATTTTGTATTATAACTTTGATATTTAATTAAAAAAAATAGTGCACAAAAACAATAATTGACAATATAGTGAATATAATCAATTGATGAATTTGAATGTAAAGAATTTTTATATTACAGAAATATAAAACAATATAACTAATAAAATTATTTCTCTTAATTAATTTATTGATAATGAATAATTTTTATTTTTAATAAAGACATTGTAGGGAGAATGTAGCGAATATAATCCGTTGATGAATTTGAATATAAAGAATATTTATATTAGAGAAAAATAAAGACAATATAACTAATGAAATTGTTTCTTCTATTTAATTTATTGATAATGAATAATTTCTTTTGAATAAAGACATTGTAGACACATAATTCTAAATTAAAGAAATGCATATGTATTATTTTTTGTTGTAGCTACTAAATTATTATTTTATAATTTAATAAGAGTAAAATAGAGTACTAATTATGCCAACTTTGATTGAGATGGGGTTCGAACCTAAGACCTTTCTTATTGAAATCAATGAGTAAGTTAAGGGTGAACTAACAGAAATTAACGGAAAAGATAATATTTAACGGAAAAGTTAACGGATAATCATATTTATTAAGGATAAATTAGTAAATCTCAAGGAAAAATTAAAATCTGATCAATCTGAGCCATTCATTTGATTAAAAAATTTGACCGCCATTTTTTCTACCCATTATAGGCCTAACTCTCTTGGGCTCTTATTAGTATATATAGTAGATAGATAATTCATTATTAATAAATTAATTAAGAGAAATAATTTTATTAGTTATATTGTCTTTATATTTCTCCAATGTAAAAATTCTTTACATTCAAACTCATCAATTGATTATATTCACACATTGTCTATTACATTTTTTTGTGCACTATTTTTTTTAATTAAATATCAAAGTTATAATACAAAATAATGCTATATATTTATTTACCAAG